TGATGGTCACCGATGGTTAGCTACACTGAGTGATATGGCTGGGTGTCACAGACAATGGCGCTCGTGCATCCACTCGTTATTTTCCTAGTACCACTCTATATAAATTCACCATCTCACTCTATATGTATTACCCATCTTCCGCTTGAAGTTTTCTTCGACATTCCAATCTTCATTTCGCTGTTTTATCCAAATGGGCAACCAAAAGACAGCAACCAAAACCGGCGCACGAAAGTGCATGGTTAATGGTTGTAAAACTGAAACTGAAACTGAAACTTCAGTCGGATGCATCAATCCTGATTCTATCTATTCGCAAAGCGTTCCTCTGTGTGCTCTTGGCCACCGAACACCATCCGGACCACTCTCACTGGTGGAAAGTTCTACACAGACTTACAGACACACACACTTTAATCCGTTTCTTGTAAACCTGTTTTCCGCTAATCTTTCTTCATGTGACTGTAAAGGAATTCACACTGCTGTTTAGATCTTTGAAATTTTTATCACTACGTAGTAGTTCAACTTGTAATCAGTATCTCGAATGAATGGTCTTCTAGCATTTCCGATATGCAGAACGTTTTCAGTGGAAATTCTAGACCATCACAAACATGCATTCCACTATCAACCACCTTATTTGAGAATCTATCTATGAACAGCATCCATCGTTGCATACAACGCTTAGGTACTCCATCAAGCGGAACCTATCCACAGTGAATTAAAAAGACAATTGAATGAACTGATGTCCTGCGTTGTTTTATTGATTCATATAATTTACTGCCCACCACTGAATAACTTGACTTGAATCACGCAATTCATTCAAGGTATCTGTTCTCTTCAGTGCCTTTTCCAGAGTACCACTCCCCCACCACTTTTCAGTATAGGTATTTATTGGACATAACAGTTATTGAGAACAACGGCGTGGCGAACAAGCTGGTTTTCAGCTATTAGTAATCATGCCATTAGATAATGTCAAATATAACTAACAATAAGAACAAACAAGGAATGAGAGATTCGAGTCCTAATGATTCGGGCCGAATCTCTCATTTATTGTTTGTTCTTATGGTCATTCATATTTAACATTATGTAACGGCATGATTACAAATAACTGAAAACGAGCTTGTTCGCCACGCTGTTGTTCTCAATATGTTCTATGGGACTAAAGACACGTTTGAAACGACAATTATTGTCATCAATTTTTTCTTTCACACACACTGTGGTTCGACCTCAAACAATCCCACCACGAGGAAAACATGGGGAACCAAACGGAATGCAAAGAACAAGTTTAAAGCCCGTTCAGATCGCTGAGTAAAACGAATGAGGAACATTGTGTAGGGTCCTGCGATAATCAGTAGTGAGAACCGATCGATTTAATCCACTTTATCTACAGAACACATTTGAATAGGTGTTTTATTAATATCCTACTAGTTGAATTTTTTGGATCTGATCGGGAACACAGTACAATACAGTGGAACTCACGCGTCTTGAGTGAACACGGGGATCAGACCATTTTGTGGTTGAATTGGATCGGTGCTACGTGCCCCGGTCCAGTAATCCGGATAGCATGCCTTGGTTATTTGGGTCATCTTGGGGGGAACTGTGCAGTACGAGGGACTGACTCGGAGTTGACGAAGCCGCGGCACCCCGAGTAACTTATTATCAAATCCGATGAATTCCTTCTCACTGAAAGAGACATTTCGTTCGTTGTACCAAGTATTCCAATAGAGGCCGCTCATAAACTGACCTTTCAAGTACTATATTCATTCAGGGGGTGGAGACGGTGGTATAATAAATGAAGAAAATTTGCTACTGTGTAAAGCCGGAATGCAACAAAAATCGCAGCTGACAAAGACTATCAATACAAACAGGAGGGAGTGAAACGGTAAGAGTAATTTATGATTCGCTTAGTCATTAGGCCTCTTATCTCCACAATCATGGGCTGGTTCAAGGCAATTTTCCGTCGGTTCCGGTCCCATTCTTGAAAAACGAGTCGGAATTTTTTGTTTTGTTTGAAAAAAATAAAAGTAGGAATAATTGAAAATTGGTTTCCAATTGTAGATTATTGCAGCCATTTATTCGAGATATTTTCTGTCAACCATTTGTCTCAGCGGAAAGGAGTTCCGAATTTAAACCCGAAAATTTGCGGTTCGAGTCCCTTCCGGGACTATAAAGACGAAGCAGCTGTCTGATGTCATTCGTCAGCCATGACAATATCCACAGTGGCATTTAAAATGTAATGAGAGAACGATTTTCAGATGGGTAAATACCCAGTATTGTAAATAGAAAAGTCATAATAGTTTTCTCAAGTAGTAAACCGGATTCTTCTTCTGTAAATTATTTACCCTTGGAGAGGGAAATCGCATTTCAGTCAAACAGACGAACAAGAACAACAGTATAGATGTGTGACCAACAGTTTGTCTAGTTCACTTCAGCGGTTTGTGTTCATACCCTTCACAGATTCTGCTACGTGATGTCTTGTCCATGGTCTTCGCTATGCTTCAGTCAGTCGATATTTTTATCGGTTACATCACATTAATTTTCTTTTGTCGTCATTTACGCTCGAACTTGATAAGTTGCTCATCTGTAGTAGTATTTTTCTTTCCACAGTTGTTTATATAGAGTCATGCAGTATTGGCATGACCCATCGGAATATTCACCGTTGCCTGTCCCTTATCATGATTGAGCCTAACCAAGTGAACGTTTGTCTGGCATTCCTCTTCCTTGAATTCCTATGTTCAATATATTTTATTTTACAGTAGTAAAAATGAGTTGTAGTTTTCTACGTTGTTCACAACTTTACTCTGTCTCCATTATTGATCGCTCCCTCATTGGCTGCACACTTCGCATCCGCTCGTTTCGCAAACTGGTTCCCCCTTTTGAACACTCCATGAATATCCTATACCATAGATTTAGGATCTTCTGTTTTGAGTCACTGGAGCAATGCTTGTTGCCTTTGTGTTGATGTGAGTTTTATATAAATCAATGTTAGGTTTAATTATTATTTCTTATTGTATCATGTTTGGCACAGAATCTAATTAGCTCTTTTGGTTTTGACTCGTATAATGTTATGTGCTTATCTCTTACGAACTCTTTAAGACTGTTACATTACTTTACATTATATGTACTTATTCCATCAAATCATCAGTGATCAGGTGCCTGGGATCTACACCACACGAAACGAGGAGAAGGATGGACAACCCTCGTTTCTCGACGTCCTCTTCATGAGGCAAACCACACGGAAGAATAGAAACCTCAGTTCTTAGTAAACTCACCATGTGAGAAGATGTCTTTAAGTTCGACAGTAACCACCCATGGGAACACCTGCAAAGTTGTGTGCAAACTCTGTTCCTCTGAGCAAAAACACATTGCAGCACGCCGGAGCTAAGAACAAGAGAAAGAAGTCGACCATTTCAACTGTTCTCGTTTAATGCATATTCCACGAGTCTTATCAACGCGTGCATCAAGGAGGGAATTTGGATTGCATTACAGTACATACGCTACACGTCAGAAGCCACTGATCGCATACTCCGACCGTTGGGAATCAAGGTTGTCCATAAGCCTATTACAACCGTGAGATCGTTTCCCTTCAGCGACAAGGGTCGGGGCAAACAGCATGAACGATCAGGTGTGATCTACGCAATCCCATGCCTAGGTTGCAACCAACACTGCATAGATGAGGCAGGCAAACAGTAACACACTCGCCTACACGAACATAAACTTGCCCAGGTCACAAATCTGGAACGACTGCGCAAGGACGGGTCGCGAGATCGAGATCGATAACCCAAAGGTGGCGGCACGAGATAAGGAGGCGGGGGGGCGGTTAACTCTTGAAGCTCTACGCTCCGTCAATTCGTTAAACCGACACGTTGAGACAAACAATTATTATGTTGCACTCACGACAATTTCTGGAGCTATAGACACACAAACAGCACACAGCCGAACGGAAAGATGGTAATCGTATTCTCGCATTCATTTCATTTACGTTTGACAACGAGTACCAGTTTGAATGCAAACAATAAACATTTTACAACTCAGTGTACACCTCCTTTCGCTCCTGAAATATATACATATATATTTTTATTATGGGCGGTAGTGGTTAAGTGTTTCAATAGTAACTGAGCTCGAACCGCATGACCACCGCCTATCTTCAGTATTTCTGTATTTCTCCAGGCAGCTTATGTATGACCGTGGCTCCCTTCTTGAAAGTTCACTGTATATTTGTATACTCAACAAATAAGGAAGTTTAAACATTTACTATCAACTATATTCATATCTTATCGATCTATCTTTATAAGCATGAATAGGGATTATGGTACCAACAGCAAAAATCAGATTCCGTAACAGGTATACTCTGATCATTTGCTTCAAAGATGCTGAATTCGCGTTGACAACGAAATAGGAAGTATGAAACATTATGGGTTAAACGTACCATTGGTTATCAAAGA